GACCTTCTGCAAAATAGGTTCAATACTGTAGATTATTTTAATATTTTAATACTGTAGAAGAGAGAGCAAACTTTAAGAGAGAGAGTTTTAAACAAAAAATAATAATTTAAAAGATTATTTTTCTTAAATCATAAAAAAAAAAAAATCTAGAGGAGTACTTGAAAGTAGATTTTTTCTAAGATCATGATTTGTAAAATAAAAGTTTCACATATTTTTTTATAAATAACCAATTTAAGGGTGTTGAGTTGCCTTTACATTTTAAAGCTTGGATTTTTTTGTTCAATTGTAATCCAAAATAAGAAAATCCTCTGTAAGAGTTCTTTTTGCTAAAAGCATGAACTATTGTTTGAAAAAGATACAATCCATCTTACGTAAAACATTAGGAAAATGGTAGTTTTTCCAACACCTTTCAGTGAACTTATTGTGGATTTTCTTAAAAAGGATAGTTTTCTATACGCCTCCCATACCGTGCAGACCCCTGATTCCAACTTAATCATCCATAAGTCACTTCCATGCCTCGTCGAGCATTTCCTCCTGACCAACCGTACGCCGAGTACATGGGCGAACCTAAGCATAGCCAAATGAAACATTGGTCTAGGACTTCCAATTTTTATTTAAAAAAGTTTTTTTTAATAATAAAACCCCTCAATTAAAGGTAACTCGTAAAAAACCCCTCAACTAAAACTTTACTGAAATAAACCCTCAATTTCAGTTTTGCTAATGTATGTCACCCTCCGTCACTGTATTTTAGACATGAGGATGACATACTTTAATAGAACTAAAGTTGAAGGTTTCTTTCATTAAATTTTTAGTTGAGTTTTTTTTTAAATAATTATTTAATTGAGAGGTTTTATTACTAAATGTGATTAAATGTTTTAAAAAAATATTATAATTTATGTATTATTTAAGAATTTTACAATTGATTTATAAATGTTTAAAATAATTTATAATTTTTATACATTATTTATCAATTTTATAACTTAGTTATAAGGCCTTACAAATATTTTAATACCTTTATAATTTATTAATACGGTTTAACGATGATTTTATAAATTTATTTTATAAATTTTCTCAGTTATTTGTTAGGATCGAATAATACATGGTTTGGTTGATAGTACAAAAATATGTAAGTAAAGCAATAAAACTTTATAAAGGAGGAAACACATAAAATTTTCTTATACTAATACTTTCAAATATCAAATAATTTAAGATTTCTAAGTTATATAAAATTGTAGGTAATGTTGAGTAGTTAATTAGTTTAGAAATTTAACCTTTTATTTAATGTATGGCAATAACCTTCTTCTCATCTTTACACGATTTCAATTGAGTCATATTTTATTTCTATTTCTGGAGAAATAATGTAGGATTATTTTTCTTCTTTTTAATTTTTTAACCAATATGTTATACTCCTACCATATTAATCAATAAAAGTATATCTTTGATTTGCTTTTCTTGTTTTATAAATTGATAAAGTAATTTATAAAAATTTATAATTATTTTAAACCTTTCTAAATCAATTGTAAGAGTCTTAAATAATGCATAAATGATAATAAATATTTAAAAAAAACTAATCGCATTTAGTAATAAAATCCTTCAACTAAAGGTGAATTGTAAGAAACAACCTCAACTAAACATTTAATGAAAGAAACCCTCAACTTTAGTTATGTTAACGTATGTCACTCTCCGTCTAAAATACCGTGACGGAAGGTGACAGACGTTAACAGAACCAAAGTTAAGGGTTTATTAATAAATATTTAGTTGAGTAGTTTTTTTACGATCCATCTTTAGTTGAGTGGTTTTTTTACGATTCATCTTTATTACTAAAAACTTTTAAAAAATTACATGAAAAAAACCCCCAAATTTGTAAAAAAAAAAAAAAATTGAATAAAAATTCTCTCTAAATTGCTTATGGCCTCCAACATCTCAGGGATGCCCCTAGACGAAGATACCTCTCCACGACTTCAGGTATTGGATTCAACTCAATAACCTCTTCAAAATCACCATCTAATTTGAGTTTCTTAACCTCTTCTAACAAAAAAAGTACACATTTCCCATATTTGTAGCTCGACTATACATTATTGAGCATAAACCACAAAGACACAGTTCTTGAAGCTGAGTGGTACTTGTACTAACCAGATTAGTGAACCTTTCATGGACGTCCTCCAGACGTGTAAACCATACCTTGACAGTTTCAAGCCTTTGTCGATGCTATGTCTCCTCCTCTGTTCCAACCTTGGTCTTCACCCTACGTTGAATTGCGTTGAGATCCTCCATTTCCCTCCTCAGTTCCTCTAGATTCTTCTTCAGGTTTCCAATATAACCTTTACCACATAAGAATCTTAAGATACCTTCCAGCACTTTATCACAAATAAAGTTGAAAGACGCCATGGTGAGTGAAAGATAGAAAAATCTCAATAAAGCTGTGTCTGAGGAAGTGCTTTACTCTAAATATTGGAGACATGGTCGTCTCAAATGATTTCTAAATCTTGTTCAAAAAAATATTAATGATATATTTAACGATTAAATCAAGAAATTTTAAAAGTTAATAATTATGTTTGATGTTTCTTTTAAAATTATAAGCTATAATCTAGCAGTATATATAAAATTTTATCATAATCTAATTATATATTTCTTAAATTTTTTTAATTTTTCCTTATTTTTTTCTTATTTTTATATTTAAAATTTTATTCGACCGTTCCACTTGCACATGTTATTAGACGACCATTATTGGAGAACATAAAATATTATAATAAGACGAAAGACATTAGCTGTCCTAGTTTCAGATGAATCATTTACGAGATGAAAGACTTGGATCATTCTTTTTTCAGGTCCATACGACCCTACTGATAACATACTGTTAACAACTGTGTTTTGGACTTTAGTATTCTTCAAATAGGAAACCAAAGCCGATTGCAGTAATGAGAATATATATCAGTCCAGTAAGAATTGTGGTTTGGACTTTAGTGTTTTACGATTAGGAACGATCAACAACATCATGCTCGATAAGTCTGAACTATTCCCTCCACCTCAGATCATTAATACAGTGATAAGTGTTATTTTGCTGTTTTAGCTATTAATTTTGATCATTTTAATGCCTAGAAGTTGCATGTATGTGTTATTAGGTGTTACATTTGTATATTTTGCATATACAGGAGCTGGAGTGCTCAATCACTAAATGGAAGACAAAAGTGCACAAAATGAAAGTTATGGAGCCAAAATCGAAAAGGAAAAAGAAGAAACACATTTTCACCTACAAGTGCCCACTTTAGGAATTGGTCTTTGGCACTTTACTACTGTAGGGAAATCTACGAAATTACCTAGAGTCTAGAAGTAACCACTTCAGGAAAGCTGCATCTTACAGATTGATGCTCTAGGGAACTTGTTTTGTTTGGGTCTTTGTGTTTTGAGGCCCATTAGTGACATTGCATAAGTAGTTTAGGGTGACAAAAACCCTAAGCTGGCTCAGCCACATTTTTCCTTGTTTTCGATATGAAACTCTAGTTTATTTTTATTCTTAATTTAAGTATTTAATCTGTTTATAAATTTTCTACTCTTCTCTAAACATGATTCTTCAAGGATCGGTGACAGATTCTTGGGTTTCAATGACTTATAGTGAGTAGATTTTTAGAGATTTTAGGTTGGTTGATTAAAGAGAAAGATGGATGATTGAGGATATTAAGACTAGATTAGCCTTGTTCTAAGTTTGCTAACAGTTGTTAATGCTAGATCTGACTTGATCTCCCAGATATAGATTCTAAGATATTTCACGCCCAAAAAATGTTTGTTGAAATGCTTGAACGAACTTAGCGTTGTTCTTTACAGATTTGGCCAATGGAAGTTGATGCCTGAGATGTTTAGCGGTTAGTAACTTATGATTCATGCATACTTGAGTGTGTTAGGCCAACGGAGTTGATGTTTAATTCATGATTAACATAGGAATTTCTGTCACTGAAGTGGAGTAATCTATGTGAATGAGATTTAGACCTTTAGAGCGATTGTTAGTTGATTATGTCTAGCATCTAAATCTGAAGTCAATCATCTCTGTTCAAAAATCGTACCCAAGAGATTGTCTTTCTTAGTATTTTATCTAGTAGTAGTTAATAGTGTCTTTCTATTCCATTAGTTTAAAAATCACTCCATCTTTTTATTTGCTTAGATTAAGAAGATTTGTATATTTTTAATGTTACCAATCAGAATTCTCTGTGGATTTGATCATAAAATTGCATCGATATACCATTCGATTTTGGTAGCGTGCACATTATGTTAACTGGCCTGTGGTAAAACTCAAAACATCATACAGGCGGCTTCACAGACTCGATTGCATTCTTATCGTACACATACACAGACATAGAACAGAACGGGTCAACAAATTGAGATAGACAATAGCAAAAGAAAAAAGCAAACCAGATATCAAACAAATGTAAATCGTCTTTACAGTCAAACTACACTATATGTTTGTGTTCAAACTACCAATGTTGTTACTGTATTGTAACAAAGACAGTCAAACTACTCAACCATTGTTTCTATATATGCCTCAATGATACAAAAGTTGCCAATTAATCAAACCAATCAGAGGCAAAAAGAGGAAACCCAATACAAAGTTTCCATCTCTTCTCAACCATTTTTTCTACTCACAATAGCGGTGTAATCATAGTCGAGCTGTTTCAACTGTCGAAGAAGCTTATGCTTTGATAGGTCCTGGACTGTATGAGGAGAAGTAGAGGTGCTTATGCTGACGTGGAAGAAGACACGTGAAAGAATCGATTATGGAACAGTTAAGAGTGACAGTGTGTGAATGTAACAGTGTTTCTAGTCGTATAGCTAGCATAAATTAGTTTGAAAACAGCATAGTTTCGAAGTCTTTCACAATCACACACTTACCATTTATTTTATATTTAGACAAGAAGATATCACACTTTTACCTTTTTTAGACACGTAAAGATTATTTCACTAATCTATATAATATAACATAACATAGCATAGATAATTAGAGATATTAATCAGTAGAAGCAAGGTGCGAATTTTGATGGCATCATTGGTACCACTATACTCTTCGAGGCAACGATCTTTAGAGGCTGTAAGGCAATAGCGCGTTTATGAGCATGAAAACTTCTTCTCAAGCACATGGATGTTTTCACCGCCCCGTATTCGTCCTTCCTCTTAAATTCAAGAATCTTTGGTGAAAGGTTCATCAGCAGAGGAAGCATCATAAATTCATCCCCATGTACCATCAGTGGCTTAGGCTCGTTCTCTGAAAGTTCATTTACATTCACGGGATCGTAGAAAGCTTTCTTAATGTCTTGAAGCATCTCTGTGTCGGAATCATAACGATTTTTCTTGTTGAAAAACATCTCAAAGACTTGGCAACAAGACATGTGAATCTCTTTGCACGGTTTGGGTAAATCACTTAGCCCATCGATTAGTACATGCTCCAGAAACTCTTTCCTGTTTGAATCAATTATCTTTTCGATATGAGCGATTGAGTCTTCAATCTCGAGACCTGAAGTATTCCTCATGTGGAGTAGCACGGAATTGATCTTCCCTTGTTCTTGTTCCCTCTGTGAATTTACGTTGCATGAACATGTTTGATCGTGTAAGTACAAGAACATCATATGTAAGTTTTTAAATATTGTTTTTTCACGTTACACTTTGCAAATTACCGGATTAATACTCCTTGTTTAATTAAATTTAATACCCACTGGCATGTAAATCAATCCTTGATCAGTTGATCTTGACCAAACAAAAGCTACCACTAGAAGGGCTCTAAGCCAAAAAAAAAATATAAAATTCGAATCACCTGATAACTTTGCAGATCATTTAAAAGTCGAGGTATGATCATGAGCAATGTGGTTAACGTATCATATTTTCCAGAGTTGAGTTTTTGTTGGGGAAAACAAGGTTCCATGACACACGAAACTGAAAGAGCCATGGTGTGTGCTGCGATTGAGATCATTCCACTATGAAGATATTCTTCCATCGATGGAATATGTCCCTTCTTACTCCATACGGCTTCACGTAGCCATGACTCAAAAGTTTCACCCCACTGCATATCAATAAGAAAATGATGCAGAGTAATTTGTAAAATATTTTTTAAAATGTTATTTTATGTAAACAAAATTTAATGGTTTAAGATTCTGATAGATAGTGTACTACAACGATTGATTATTTTTTATTTTTAGTAAGTCAACCATAAGAACAAATATATGCAAGTAATTATAAATTGAGGTATAAAGAAAAACCAAACTACAATGTTAATAAGTCATTTAATTTGTGGTCAAGTTTACGAAGAAGTTGTTTTTAATGACATTTCTAAATGTAACTTAGTGACCTTAGAGTTATTATCTCATAAAAATAATTATGTAGAGTGAAGTAAGCATAATCACAGCAACTATAGGTCGCCTCACAGTATATGATCAATTCTTAGTTCACTCTTATGAATTTGATAACGCAAAAGCAATATAAAAGCGGTGAATAAGTTAAACTGTTTCAAAATATGCAAGTTGGAGTAAAGAAACATACTATGTTGCGAAGCTGATCTGTAATGTCGGTTCCGTGTTGCTTACGGCAAGCCTCTGTAGTCTCTCTTACTATATCATCAAGTGCCATAAATATGATTTTTTCGTAACCTTCAAGCTCGTCTCCATCCCACCTATATGAAACAATAATTAAACCAAGATTCAACAGTAATGATAGGAATATAATATGAATCTATATGACTATATATACATAATTAAGTTACTATCTACTTACACCAGCAAGACCGATATTTAACAAATGTACCTTATAACAGCTTTAGTAAGAGCTTCCAAATCATCCAAAGAACCTTCTTCATCAAACAAATCGTCGGCAACTGTGACGAGGATGGCAGTCTTCGCTGTAAGCTTTCCAACTTTAATGGCAGATTCAAAGGGCAATGAAGTCGCAGTTGCAAAGTAACAATATGTTGTCTTCTCTCTACCAAAACCAATATCATTAAGTCCCCATTTCTTTACCCATCTGTCACAAATCGCTATATCGTTAGACCAAATATGCAATTTTGCTATAGTGAAATGCCTTTGTTGTTGCAAATACCACGTAGTTCTAAACCAAAATCTTACTTACATTGTTAATTCCTCTAGCTCGCGTCTGTACAATGCTTGTCGAGATAAGAAGTTTCTTGTTGCAAGATGAGTCAGCTTGTTGATATATGTATTATGTAGTCTAATTCATAAATCATAAAAATAAACTGGAATTAGCTTGTGACTGAAGTATTCAAGATTAGATAGATGATTTGCATGTGTTTCAAAAAAAAAAGAAGGATAGATGATCTATACTATTAAAGCAGATGACTGCTTATGAATCTACCCCTGATTTTTTAAGGAAATTACAAAACATTCCACTTCTTTTTATTTTTAATGAAATCATCCATTAAAAGCCCAACTGAAAATCACCAATTAAAAGCCCAATAATTTTAACATTTATTTGCAACGAAATGGGCTTCAAATCTATACAAAAAATTATATATTTGTAAGTTTACAAATTTATCAAAAGAAGTAGGTCTGAGTATTTGACACAGACCCGAACAAGAACCGACACGAAAATACAAATCCAAGTCCGGGTTCGGGTCATTGCTAAAGTATCTGTTGGGTATTTTTTGTTTGGATCCGCAGGTCTCGGTTCGTCCGAGTCCTACTAGAAACCCGATCGGGTATTCTAAGTATCCACAAATTATGGTATATATTAGGTATATTTAGGTGATTGGATATATTTTTGATAATTTAGGTATTTTTTAAAGTTTCAGATTTGGATTTTCGAATATAATATTAGGTTTTAGGTGAACTTTTAGATTTCAAAAAAATATAATTCGGGTATCGGGGTAAAATTCCGGGTATTTTTTTGATTTTTGGATCTGATTTTAGATAAAATTTCGGATTTTTTTGCGGTTCTTCGGGCCTTTTTAGGGTTTTCGGGTTTTGGGATCCAGTTTGGGTCCTTCGGATCCTTTTCGAGTCCTAAATACCCGAACGGACCCGATAATATACCCGAACCAACAAACCTGACAAGACCTGATCCGAAATCGACCCGAAAAATTATAGATACTTATATGGGTCCAAATTTCTAAGACTCGAAAGATATGAACCCGATAAAACTCGATCCAGACCCGATTCGAGGATCCGGATACTCAGAATTAAACAGTATAATACCTGCGCTTTGAAAGCACGGGTCAAAATCTAGTTTGCATATATACTTTATACCTTAAAAAGGAGGCTTTTCCGACTGAGAGGACATTTGAGTTTTTGTCCTCAATCCACATCCTATGATCAAGGTGTTTGAGTCGAGCTATCCATGGAGTACTTAATTCATGCTTAATCTAAAAACAAATTAATATTTATTTGAATCAGGCATTTGTGGTCACTTAAAACACTTCAACTTCGGTGGGGTCAGGATACTCGGTTAGCAAAAAAAAAAAAAAAAACACTTCAACTTTTTGACTTTTTTTTTTAATACCATTCGTTCGTCGATTGACCGAATTTGCTCAAGTAGATTCCGAGTATACTCTCTTGCTGCTTCAAGCTCTTGCTCTCCTGGAAACATGAGATCTGTGGCTCTGTAAACACTAAGGATGACAAGGAACAAAGAGTCTGTATTTCTTTCCAAATGATTTCGAGTTTCCTGATCATTCAAGAACCAGCAAAAGCTTCCTGAAAAGTATTAACAATTTTAAACTCGGTAAAGAAATGAACATATAATTCTCTTAAGTTTAATACAAAATATAATAACTAGTAATCAAAATAAGAGTTAGTTCTTACTTGGTGAAACGGTGTGACCTCGAATTCTTAACATCCGAAATGCAAGTGAGTCTTTGTGCAGTTTATCTGCTAGATAACTGATAGGCATTCTCTCTACATTTTCTTCCTCGTAACTCCTTAAGTACACACGAAATTAAGAAACAGTTTTTCGTATATAAACTTAATATATCAAAAAATATATGTAAAACTGGTGATTATAAATTTAGCCTCACCTGTAAACTTGTTGAAGAACATGTTCAATATCACTTCCAAAGAACTCTCCTAAACCGATGTTCTCGATTACATTAACCATGGAGAGTTTTATGAGTTCTTCATTAAGAGGGTATTTTTGTGGGACTGAGACAAAAATTCATACATATCTTGTTAACAAATATTATAATGCAGTTAAATACTACTACCTCGTTTCAATTTAATTGTCGTTGTAGAATAAAATTTATGTTTCAAAATAAGTGTCGTTATATAATTTTAATGCAGAATTTATTGATCTTATATGTCATTATATTTTTGTATTAATTTGAAATGTGGTTAATGGTGTTTTTATTTCAAAAATATGCAAATTAAATGTTTTTTAATCTGTGTGCACAAAACTAAAATGGCAACTAAAATGAAACCGATGGAATATCACATCTAAATTATCGATAGCTTTGGGATAAGTAGAGTTTAAATTTTACCTCCATTTGGGCATCTTTGGACGACATTTTGAAGATATGCAAGACACTTTGCATTGCGGGTAATCATAAATGCTGATGCAGTTGCTGAAGGCGACTGAAATAAAGAGCCATCGATATTGTCGAGGCTCTTAACTATGATTTCTTCTTGGTTTTCGACATATAACGTTGATGGCAAGACCTCTAGATATGCCAGTAGAGGTATATGGTTACAATCATCCAACAACTTTTCTCTGGAAAATAAAGAAAGCCGATGTTTTATATATTTAATTGAGGAATTATTTTGATCAAGATTTCTTCTCATGTAACGTTACCTTTTGAGAATCTCTTGGCGTTGATCAAACACCTCTTTGATCATTTCAATACAGCGACTAGAGAAAACAAAGTGTAAGCCAAGTTGTTGAGCGTGCTCGAGGATTCCTGTGAATTTGATAACGAACCAACGAGGATAGGATCTCTCTTTGCTTTTGTATTTCCTAATTATCATCTCCGTTCTTCTCTCGATATATCTCTTCCCTATTAAATTAATTGAAAAAACATAGCATACGGTCAGTGAATCTCACACCCAACACACACACACACATATATATATATATATATATATAATTAGAAAACGTTTGGTTTGATAATAATCACATTTCATGGGCGCCATTATGAAATTCGTTCAAATTATGTTGTGTGTCTAAACTAATTCACCGTTTAAAAAAATAATATACACATCCCATGTAGACTAATTTATTGCTTAAGAGATTAAAAATTTCTTAAATTTGAACATTAATAATTTAAATAATCTTTGTTAATAATATAAAACTTGATTATTTATATATATTCAATATTATTGTTAAGAAAGCAATTGAAATGTTAACAACACACACTTGTCTAGGAAGTCTCTTATGGGAATTCTTAATCAAAGCAGCTTTCCTGGTGAGATACTGAATTTCTCATCAGAAAATAATATTATTTTTTATATATTAAGTTGAAAGATTTATCTAGAATTTTAGTTAAATATCCATTAAAAATCGCATTAACATATATTTTGTAATTATATAACCTAATAACAATTCTTGTTTGCTTAATAAATGCTCATAATATTTAAAGTGAGATTTTTATATATTTAAATTCAGGCATAATCAATTTTATTAGATAGAAAATTTTATTTTATAATTTATAAAACAATATTAACAATATAAACGTGTTCTTAAGTTGTTAAAATTTGATGTATTTGATTCATTACAGAATATATAAACCTAAAGTAAAAATTCATTTGTTATTAAGAAGTTTTATTAGGATCTCAAACTATCTATTTTAGAATCTAAATTTACATATTTCGATTTTTTAGTTTCATATTATTTTACTATGTTTGGATACTTTTTTAGATGCTTGCAAGATATATATATTTTTAGTTTTCAAATAAGAACTAATTCTCTTATTTTCTAATATTTTTATTTAAAGAAAAACTTAGCAAATAAAATAAAAATGTGAAAATGCTGAGAAACTATCGTTCCTAACATAAATGCATAAAATGGGATCAAATTCGTGACATAAACAGTACTAGTTTATAAGAAAATAATTTAAACCCAAATTTTAAATATAAAGCCTAAATATTTGTTCAAAAATTAAATCGAAAATTATTTTATCTTAATAGTTCGAAAAGAATGACCAAATAGTATTTTATTATACTGAGCCGGGCCTCTATTTATGGCAGTCATATAAACCCAAAACCAATACGAATAACCAATGAACATGTCCTTTTTGTTAGTTGTAAATTTGTAGTTTACAAAAAGTATTATAATTTTGATCAAAAAAGTATTATAATATTACAAATTAAAAATATTATTTCTTCAATAACGATTACAGTACAATTTAACAATACATTATGCAAAAGTTATTTTTTTACGTTTCTGGGTACAACAATTGTTCATGCTATAAAATAGTTTAAAATACTTTTGCATGTTAATTATGATCAAATTAGTAAAGACATGCCTAAAAACTATTTTGTTTCAATGAAAAGCGAAACATGCCAAAACTGAGACTAGCAGTAAATATATGTTTTTTTCATAGAACAAAACATGTACTAATTGTGTAGCACGTGAATAACGCAGTAGGCCATGCATGATGCATGTGAGTCGTATGTAGTGAGTGACGTTTTATATTTATGGATGATATTAATATTTTTAATTTACGGATAGTTTATTTTCCTAAAGGGAAACAATAATCAAAGTCAGCTCAGTCAACACAACACACCTTTTTGGAGATGAAAACACCCAATGTTCCATTTGTGAAGAGCAAGAACACAGGCAAGAGTGGAAGTTAGAGTATACATGTCGTCTCCGTCTTCGTCTCCAGCGTCAGACACCGGAGTAATTAGACACCCGGAGTTTCCCCAGTAACCTTCTCCGGCATTTTGATTACACAAAATCCAATCTAAAGAATCTCGGAACATAGGTTTAATCTCATCATCATCATCATCTACGTTGTGGTCTTCTTCCACCATAGCTAACCAAGCCATATCGTAAGCAGAAGGAGAGACAAATGAGTAAGGATCAAAATTAATGGTGGACAACTGAATATCATTCTTGGTCTGATTGACCAAAGCGTGGAGATCATCATGAGAAGAACCGTAAGGGAACTTCATTGTCTCTCTCTCTATTTTTCTACTTCTCAAGATGGTCTTTAGATTATGTGTGTTAATAAATGTCTCACTAATTCGGGTGTGTTTATATAGAGAAGAGAGTATGAATACTGATGTTAAATATAACAATGTGAAAAATGTGGTTTGAGATGCGTAGTTTGAATGATATCGTCTCTTTTACAGGAATAGTCTACTCATCTCTTAGTCTCCCAATAAATTAAATGGAGATCCAACGAGTTACACTTATATTGTTAAATATTCCCATGTTATCATAGTGAATCAGTTTTCTTAACTAAATAAATAATAATGAGTCATTTTCTTAAGCAAATAAATCACTGTGAGTCATTAGCTACAAAATAAATTATATTATAGTCCCAACGACTTTTTTCTCTAAAAATAAGTGTCATAATTAAGAAATTTATCCAGAATAAATCATGTATATAATATTTATACGTGTATCTCCACATATGTAATATCTTTTCTCAATTTTAAACTTTATCGATGTATCTTAATTCTAGAACACGACTGAAGCATTATAGTCGTGTGGTTCTCCGCTGAGACAGACCTACCCCAAAGTGGGTCTGGAAAGGATCACGAGTTTCCATGAAGAAAATGAGGTATAACTGTATAAGACACGAGTAAAAGTACGTTTGTACACTCGTATATTTACTTTGAACCATACAAAAGATGTTTACAAACGTACTTTTAAACCAGGGTAAAACATTCTCAGAGATATTCTACATACTACTCAAAAATAGAGAACTCTGTATATTCTTCAAAATTTGAAATTTGTGTCAATACTTTTTTTAATGCGACCACTCTTTTTTTTTATTGAAAAAATGCTACCACTCTGTTGAAACGCAAGAAGTCTCATGAAAAATAAAAGAATTGTTTCCATTATCATTTCTGATTTTAATTTTATTTTCTTGTCAAACTGTCTTTTATGTGAAGTAATAAAGTGTTGAAGAGTTGCATGAGCTGTGTCTTAACCGAAAGTAAGTAAATCTGAAGATCTCTATAGTAGTTGTCGACTATTGTCAAGACATTAAAGTAGCTTTTTTTATGGTTCCTAAGGATTGCAATACACAATGTGAAAAACATTTGTTGATTTATTCAAAACTAGTACGAGAAGAATCTTTTGTTCAACGGACATTCAAAATCTCACACGTCTTGCAATGAAATTTACTGGAACTATTAAAACCAAAGATAGGGGTTAAAGCTTGAGAAGACAGGGGGTGCTCCAAATGTTTACCAGTAGAAAGCTGATTCGAGATATGCAATGCCGCTGCTGTTTCCATACTTCTATAAATTAGTGACCAATGATATGACCATCAACTTGTTCACCCACTACAATCAGCATCATTGTGATGTGGTATTGGATCACACACAACTTATCACTTATCTGGCAGGCAACCTCCATCATGTTTGATTTGAGATACATAAATAAGATGACACTTCAAACTATACAAAGAAAACCTCTTGAATCCGAAGATGATAACCCAAAAAATAGTTCTTTGCTTCAAAGACTGAGTGAATCAACCATCAAGCAGTTAAATCAGAATCGAAACTATTGTTTTAACGTATGTGATCACAGTTTAGAACTAATACACATGGTAACAACATTTATTTTTTCTAATTTCTCTAATAATTAAAATGATTTTAAAGTAAATATTAGTATTACCTTCGAATTTCAAACTGTTAAATTTTTTACCTTTAAAAGTTTTCAAACAAAAATTCCTGTATCTGACTAACCGTGAATACTTGTCAGCAATACATCCAACAACCGAGTTATCGTTTTCATAATTTATGTGAACACAGAAACATCTCTAGAGAAAAACATATTATGCCAAGTTAAAAAGAGTCATATTTTCGTTACTGAAAAGTCATAATGGTCACAATAACGTGGGTCATATGACCCATGTGAAACCAAGGAATTTTGTTTACTTGTGTGTTTATAGAGAAAACTGAGAAAGTATAGTAAAATAGCCTGACTCTAAACCTGACCCCGTAAAGATTTTGGCTGGCTCCGCCCCTGACATCAGCCATAAGACCCCGAAACATCATAGAAAACGGCAATTGTTGTATGCATGAGACATAGAATTCAAGTTTAAAAGAATCTCCATGACCTTCAATGGATACACGCATATTTCTATTGATTTGTTTCACAACCTTTTGCATTAAATTTTAACAAAAGTTTCGGGACTATTCTCTCTTTGAATTTCCAGTACCGCGTCGTATATATATATATATATTTTTACCGTGTCGTATATAAATTCACTTATTCAATAAAAACAGATTTTAACAAAAGTCTGGGAACTATTTTAATTTGTTAATGTTACATCTAGATGTAGATCATCTAGATGTGTCTTAAATTTTTGTGCACCAGTAAACGTGCAGCATTCGTTAAACCGGTTGTAGGCGTTATCAAAGTTAATATCTGGGGGGTTCGGAGGCCGCATGCTCCCGCGGTACGGTATGTCTTTTCGGTTTTAGAAAATTTACCTTTTTTTATAGATAAGTATGTATTTCTATAGGAAAAAGAAAATTGAGTTTTGAGGCTATTATAAATATGAATCTAAGAGATTGTAAAGTTATTCATTTACACAATAATATACAAACCCTAAAACGGATATTTGCCTCAATCGTTTTGCTTAATTTGTTTCTTCTTCGAGTTTATTCGCATTTATTCACAACAATTAGTATCATAGCTCTAGGTTACGAAACCCTAAAGGATGACCAGAGGAATTTTTTTTGAAATTCGATGTCCCTAGGTTTGATGGAAAGGAAACTTCGGTCTCTGGCAACAGCGAGTTAAAGATTTTCTTGCGCAACAAGGGATGAAGAAGGCTCTATTGGAGTTAAAACCGGAAGCCATAAGTCAAGATGATTGGGAAGAGATGCAAGATCATGCTGTCTCAACGATTTGAGTTTGTTTGTCGGATGACATAACACATCAATTGATGGATCTCAGAACTTGTAAAGAGATGTGGGATAAGTTGGAAAAGATGTATATGTATAAATCGTTATCTAGCAAACTGTACCTAAAACAGAAGTTGTTTGGTTTAAAGATGTCTGAGAGCGGAGATCTTGTTGCACCGTCAACAACTTTAACCAAATCATCGGAGACCTAGTGCGTGTGGATGTGAAGATTGAGGACGAAGATCAAGCCATGATCTTACTGTGTTCTCTGCCTCCTCAACATTAGACATTGTTGACAGCTCTAACAGTCGATAAATTGACTTTAAAGTTGGAGACGGTTACTGCTTCGCTACTCTCACATCATGAGAGAAGGTAGAATACTGGGATGACTGAAAAATCTCAAGGTGACGGATTTTATGTCAGTCAGGATAGAGGAAAGCAGCGGGGGAAGTAGCAGGATGGTTCTAGCAAGAAAAGATCAAAGTCAAAATTTGGGAAGAAAGTGGTCTGCTATAGGTGTGGTAAGCCTGGCCACTATAGAAGAGACTGTCCCGAAAAAGAGCAGAACTTGAAGGACGGATCGAGTTCTGCAATGTAGTTTAGAAGAATGAAGACTCAGAAGGATCAGCTGATTCGGACATGTGGGTTGTTACGACAGGAGATCACATGGATTCTTGGATATTGGATTCATGCGCTTCATTCCACATGACTCCTAACAAGGAGTGATTTGAAACGTATATGGCTGGAAACATGGGCTTTGTTCGATTTGCAGACAACAAGGTGTGTGTTGTTGTGGGCATTGGACAAGTTAAGTTTCGGATGTATGATTGAACTATCAGGACATTGACTGATGTCAGACATATTCTAATCACGAAGAAGAATCTAATATCTCTAGGGACACTTCATAGAAACAGGTTCAAGTACAAATCTGATGATGGAGAAGTATTAAAGGTATTCTATGGAGCTATGATGGTGATGAAGGGTCAGATGACAGCTGAAAACGTGTATCGGCTGATAGGAAACATGGTTGTAGGTGGAGCCTTAGCTGCAGTTCTGAGTCGGAGTGTACAGCATTGTGGCATATGCGTATGGGTCACATTGACGAGCACGGAATGAAAAACTCTTGAGAAGAGGTCTTCGGGTTGAAGGATTGCAAGATGGATTTTTGCAAGTTCAGTGTGATGAGAAAACTGTCCAAGGTATCTTTTAAGACGGAGCAACACACGACAAAGGGTCTTATTGACTATGTTCATTCTGATGTGTGGGGGCCAACCCGGGAACAGTCATTGGGAAGATCAAGATACTTCATTTTATTTATCGAAGACTTCTCTAGGAAGGTTTGGGTGTACTTCTTAAAGCATAAATATGAAGTGTTCGCGAACTTCAAGATTTGGAAAGCTGAAGTAGAAAATCAAACGGATAGAAAGGTGAAGTATTTGAGATTGGATAATGGCACTGAGTATTCTGATGGAGCGTCGCAGAGGTTCTGTGAAGAGCATGGTATTCAGAGGCACTACACGATGCGTAAAATACCTCAGCAAAACGGTATCAGTGAAAGGATGAACCGTTCGATTGCAGAAAAAGCAAGGTGTTTGAATTGAATGCAGAGTTACCAAAGCAGTTCTGGGCGGAAGCAGTAAACATGGCAGTCTATCTCATCAATGGATCGCCAAGGAGTTCCTTGGAAGGGAAAGTACCAGAAGAGGTATGGACTGGGATAGATATGGATCTATCAAACTTGAGGATATTTGGATGTCCAGCTTACATGCTTGTTTCGGGAGATGAAAGGTCAAAGCTGGATTCGAAATCCAAGAAGTACATCTTTCTAGGATTTGAGATAAGTGTTAAAGGTTTCAAGTTATGGGATCCTGAGGCTAAGAAGAGGGTGTTTAGTCGAGATGTGGTCTTTGATGAGCAGTATATGGTGCAACAGGCGATATCAGACCGAGAGTGCATGTGATCAGTGAGACTAACACGGATTCTGATATCTCAGGAGAAGTCTGGTGGAGATAAAACAGATGCTACTAGTAATGAGCGGTTTTTGGAGAAAGCGCAGAAAGGGGTTCAATATGGTACGGTGGAGAGTATGGTTAGTAGAAGACCAAATGTGCAATAAAAGCTCCTGTCAGGTTCGGGTTTGAAGACATGGTCAATTTTGCTCTTGTGGTGGAGATGGATGACCCTACTAATTATCGAGAAGCTATTAACAGTGACGAGAAGGAGAAATAGATTGGATCTATGACGGAAGAGAATG